GAGTAATCCCAAATATTTTTTAATAAGTTATATTAAAAGAGAAGAGGGACCATTTTCTAGAATAAAATGTAAATTAAAAATCAATTTTCAAGAGAAGTGATGATTTCTGTAAAAGAAAAAAGTACTCTGCCATTATCCCTAACTCGCCCTTCCTTGGAGTGATTATCTCCAGTCGGGGCTCTCATGAGCTGTGTTCTGTTTATACTCCTGTTTCTCTGACATTTTCTCATTTTCCTTCCTGACACTCCTCTTCTGATTGCCCTCTTAAAGACAGCATTCCTCAAGGATTTGTTCCTGGTCTTTCTTTACGACCCCTTTACACCCTCCTGGACCCCACTGCCTCAACTAGTAATGCTGCAAAGGTGATGCCAGATCTGCATGACAAGGCCCAGGCTCCCTCCCAAGCTCCAGACTCCCATTCTCAACCCTGGTTGCCTCAATGCACATACATCATTCTGGCCTCTAAAATCCATCATTGTCTTTCACAAATATGATCTCTCTTACTCCCTTTCTTGGTCAATAGTATTATGACATCCACCCAGTAAAGCCAGTTAAAATTTTGACTTCCTTCTGACTCCTCTTTCATGTGAGTAGCCTCTAATCTCTGCAGAGGAAGTTCCCAAGTTTTTACACAGGGAGACATTTACGCGTAGCATTCTAGATAGGAGCTAGGCAATATGTGTGAAACCAGTGTTGGCATGGAAAGCACCCTGTTTTTACTTAGAGTGTATATTTGCTTAGCATAGACTAAGATGAAAGTTGGTGTAGTTTGGGGGAAGGACCCTAAGGGCCCCCCAATCCAGTTGGTGGCATCATCACTAGTCCTATGGGATCTGACTCCTCAGTAGCACTTAAGTTTTTTCCTCTTTCAGTCTCCAAACAAGACACTTCCCTTGTCTATCACCTAGATTATTGTGACATTTAGTACTTCTCCTTGCCCCCAGTCACTCCCAAATAATCTTATACACAATTCATCACTCCACTGCTCAAAAACCTTTGATGGCTGCCATTGTCTGTATAAAGACTAAATTCCGTAATCTAAACACATCCTACCTTTCCAATTCCATCATGACATTATCACTTGAGCATACACTCTATATTCTGGTTTATATCATATACATCAGTTTACATCAATTGTTCAGCAAACTCTTGAGGACTTTATGGGCCCCCGATCAGTTTCTCTCCCATTGTTCACAATTGCTATTTTGAACTTTCACTGAAAAAATTTAGGCTACCAGGAANTGATAACAGTCCCTGACATGAAAGAGACTCAGACATTTGTGAGCCTTTCATTCAGGGAACAGACACAGCTCAAAAAGGTGTTCCTGTCAAGATCACTACAGAGGAAAACTTAAGACCCTCACAAGATTCTGAAAGGGACAACGTGAATTCCAACAAGAGCGACATTGATGCAAATGAGGGGTTTGTATTGTCCACTTGAGGACTATGATTCCAGAAAGGTTATAAGCCAAACACAGTTGTTACAATCCTGTGGTGATGAACGTGCTCCTCAGTGTGAAAGAAGAGGAGGGGAATATTTTGAAGAGAGCTTCAAAAACCATACACAGTTATTACAAGAGCTTCCAAATAAAACAGTTCACTAAGAACATGAGAGCACTTCAGTGACAGAGACTGGGGTAAATATTTAGGGGAGGATCTATTGCAGTTAGAAAAAGGTTATTCTAACTTTTATTCCCACATGCAAACCCAGAGCCATCTGATGGGAGTCAGCTCTCCACGTAAGTAGCAGGAGCAGCTCTACTATGACAAAGACAAGGACACTCAACTCAATAATCAAAGGGAATTCAAGTGACATTCTTAGTACATATCAAAGCACTTAGATGGAAATGCTGAACAGATTTTAATGAATTCTTCACAAACACTAGCACAACTTTTTGGAGGTTGATCATGAAACTGCAAATTTGGAAAGATTCAGAGTAATCCCAAATATTTTTTAATAAGTTATATTAAAAGAGAAGAGGGACCATTTTCTAGA